GTAACTTGTGCATTGTTTTACTTACTTGTTTATGACATATCCGACCGAACTGCAAACTTTCCAGTGATGTCTGTGAGAAAGGTATATTCACTCGACAAACTCGCGCATCTGCGCTGCCACGCGCTCAATCCACTCAGCGTGCTTTGTTTATCAGCTCGCACACATCAGCTATACAGGCGTTAATACTGAATGTTTAACATTATATTCATTGCATACATATACTTTGTATACATCCTTAATCTCTAAGAAATCCATTCTGCTGCCTGTTGTTCTGTTGTCAGTGTTTCTTTGTCTGAATATGGCACTTATCACACGTTGTGTGGTATCGGCTTTTGGTATCGGGGCATTTTAACGAGTACGAGTACAGAAGCTCAGTATCGGGCCCGATACCGATACTAGTATCGGTATTGGTGCATCCCTAAATAATCATAATAATAATAATGTATTTTCTATTACATTCTATTTTTGGAGAAACACAACAATTAAATGATGATCTTTATACTCTAATTTTAGTTCATAATAATTTTTTCTGATTTTCTGTAATTTTTTTAACAAATGTTCTAGTTTTCCACTTTTCAGTTGCTGTATACATTTATTTTGCTTTGCTAAGTGTTGGGGCAGTCGTGGCCTAATGGATAGAGAGTTGGCCTTGTAACCCAAAGGTTGCGGATTCGAGCCTCAGGGGTCCGGCAGGGATTGTCGGTGGGGAGAGTAAATAACCAGTGCTCTCTCCACCTTCAATACCACGACTGAGGTGAGATCCTTCAGCAAGGCACCGTACCCCTAACTGCTCCCTGGGCGCCGCAGCATTGGCTGCCCACTGCTCTGGGTGTGTGTGCACTTGGATGGGTTAAATGCAGAGCACAAATTCCAAGTATGGGCCACATGTCACTTTACTTTCACTAATTAGAATCTGAACCAACCTAACTGCTATATACAGTATAGATGATTTTTCACATCAGAATATTGTGAGTGAAATTTAGCTGTATAGTGTGAGGAAAAAATGGTCAGTTGGTGAGATCAGAGGATGTTAACACCCACAGGAGGAGTTGATGATGTTAAAAGGAAGAGCTGTAGCTATAGAGTGAAAAGAAAGATTGACAGAAACAGAAAATGGCTGATAAGCGTCACATGTGTCTGCTGGGACTGATCATACTCTGTGCACTTCTCACAGGTAAAGAATACTGTTTATGATTTATAATGCACTATAAAATATCTGTAAAACGTAAACCATTTAAAAAATAATTTAATTAATTTAATCACTCTAGAAAATAAGTTTGGCTGAATGAGGTGTTTGACATTTTTCACACATTTTATATTTTGTATGTCAGAGGTTCGCAGCTCTGGGCCACGAGGTCCATGTTCTTGCAGAGTTTAGCTCCAACCTTGATAAAATGGTAACTTTCTACTAATCCTGAAGACCTTTATTAGCTTGTTCAGGTGTGTTTGATTAGGGTTGGAGCTAAACTCTGCAGGAAAGTGTACCTCGAGTTGAGAACCCCTGTTGTATGTCATATTGTTACACTCATAAATGTGATGCAAAGGTCTGCTCAAGTTAAAGGGGTCATCGGATGCCCATTTTCCACAAGTTGATATGATTCTTTAGGGTCTTAATGAAAATTCTGTAACATAGTTTGGTTAAAATTTCTCAATGGTAGTGTAAAACAACACCGTTTGGTAATGCTTTATATTACAACCAGCAAAGAACTACGTAAGTATACTGAAATTACAGTGTACGTTTCTGTAATTATAGTGTACCTATAAAGAACGTACGTGTAAGTATAAGGCAACAATGTGTTACGTTTGGGTAATAAGGGGGTAACAACCAGATATGCAACCTGCAAAGAACTGCGTAAGTAAACTTGCAGCGTAACTACAACCAGAAAAGTGATTCCATACATGGTGTCCTTAAAAAGATTAAAAAGACTCCATACTTTAAAAAGTAGGCATTCTGAGAGTATCCAGTTTCAGGGGGTCTAAAAAGAAAAGAGATGTGTCCATCTGTAGGCCTCCAAGACTCCTTAAAATAGCACATGCAGCAGCCCTCCAACCAAAGTCACTTGACCCGAAAGAAGTCTTTGTATAAATAAGTTTATGTAGCTCTAAACGTTTCCCAGAAGTATGTAAATGTGTCTTAAAAAATTGTATCGTTGAGCAAAGCACTATTGAAATGCCAGTAAGCACTATTGGTTTAATTAAATTTAAAATAAAAGAACAGCACACCATACTATGATCAGATAATAAATACAGGGATAATAAAACACTTGCTAAAAATAGCACATTGGTGTTTAAAACTGTAAAACCTATCCAACCCAGCTAAAGATAGGGTGGAACTTTTATCATTATAGGGTGGTTGTGTACACACACTGCCAACACACATTCATGTTCAAACAACTTTGCATGTCGCATCTGATGACCCCTTTAAGGTTTTTGTAAAGTAAACTTAACTGCTGTAAGCTATTTAACACCAGTTTACTCTGCATTGTTCATTTTCTGCTTAAAACAGGACATAAGAGTAAATATAAATGTTTCAATATGTAGGTAGCAGTGGAGCAGAAGTGACTCATGTGTTCTGCAGTTCTGGTGAAGATGTCCGTCTGTCCTGTAATAATGCTCTTTCTGGCTGCACATCAACTACATGGAGCTATATCAGACATTCAAGAGCAGTTGAACTGATTGCTGGAGGGATAAAGAAGAATGACATCGAGAGACATGAGAGACTGCGTCTGGGCTCTGACTGCTCTCTGAACATCAAGAACGTCACAAAAGAAGATTATGGATTTTACTCCTGCCGACAATATGTGAATAAAGAACAACAACAAGGAACTGATGTATATGTTTATCTGCATGTTCTTCATGGTCAGTGTTTCTGTGAATTATTGTGGAATTATATATGATTATATGTTGAATTAAACGTAATTAAACAGTAATGTTCGTGTCCCTGAAAAGACTGAAATGTCGTGTAATCTGTGTCTGATTTTCTGTTTCAGTCTCTTCATCATCCTCACAGTCTGAGATCAGATCAGGCAGCTCTGTGACTCTCTCATGTCAGTTATATTATCATCGAGTCACGTGTGATTCTTTAGTTCGTTCTGAGGGACTTCAGCTGATCTGGGTGAATCAGGCTGGTGTGGATCTGCAGACAGACTCCAGATTTCAGATATCCTTCTCCTCAGGACAGTGTATCAGCTCTCTGACTACAACACTCCTGAATGAAGACCACAGCAGAGCGTGGAGATGTCAGCTTAAACACAGAAATCAGCTGAAGACCTCAGCCACATATACTGTCAAGTATCCAAGTAAATGATTTATATGAACAATTAATCATCAGTAATTTAAATATGATCGTAGTCTATGACGTATCTGAACCTTCATCTTTTACAGCTCCAGCCGAAACAAAGACACCGTCTCCAGTCACCAGCTCTGAATCCTCTGCAGCTCCAGCACAACCAGGTACATAATCAGCTGTTAAGATGAATGTTTGCTGTTACCTGAAGACCTCAGTCAGATACACTGACATGTTTTCAGATAAGAAAATACATTTATTTAATCAATTTCAGAAAAATCTCTGAGAGACATGACATGCCGAATAATAATGTCATTGATTCACGACCAACTGAAGGTTTATAGGCTGCAGATCACTGTGTTTTACTCACATATAATATAACGTTTTATAATGTTGATAAATGAACACAAACTGTATATCATGTGAAATTTGATTAAGTATGACGATATGATATTAGTTCAACCAGTGTTAATTTCGTTGACGAATAACTACAACGTTGACGACATTTTTTTCACCGACGACAACGAGACGATAATGAACTAAAACTATTTTTGAATGACAAAAGCTATGACGTAAATCTATTGACATTTTCGTCAACGAATAAAAACGAGACAAAAATGTTAGTGAGGGACGATTTGGGATGAGATACATTCAGAACGATTCTGCTGCGTGGTTCGGAGGTTATGCGTACACATGAGCCGGCGGGACATTAGCTAACATACACTTGCTGCACGTCGCATAAAACATTCAAAAAATGTCAATATGTGGGAGTAAGAGAAGAGCAGACATATGCATAAATCTGACGACGCAAGAGAGAACTCAATTCGTTAATTCTCAATTTATTGATGTCGCATTATGTTTGAACTGAACTAATATTAATGATCCACAGATGCAGCTGACACAGCATCAGAAACTGCTAGATTATTAATCAGAGGTACGGAATGGCATTGCATGCACTCTAAAAAATGCTGGGTTGTTTCAACCCAACTTTGGGTCATTTATGGACTAACCCAACTTTTGGGTTAAAACTTTAATGTAAAAATGTAACCCAACGGTTGGGTTAGTCCATATTTGACCCAAAGTTGGGTTGAAACACTGGGTGTGCACTGAAACTATCAGTGAATGTGTAAATGGTTTGTCAGTAATTGTTCATTGTTAATAAGCAATTCACAGTTTCACAGATTAATTCTCTTCTTTCTCTCTATTCTGTCCACACATCTGTCCTGCAGTGATTGTGATTATTGTTGAGATTGCAGTGTTTGCTGCTCCTTCTGTGATTCTTCTTCAGATCATCTGTGCGAGAAGAGCTGGTGAGTTCTGAACGTCACAGAACCTGATGATTCACACTGATCTCTAACAATCTGAATCACGTCAGTGCAAAAAAGCATCAGTAAATTGTTTTTATTGATTTATTGTATTTATTTAGGAAGGAAGAACTCTCACCACCCAAAGGAAATAGAGATGTCTGCAGTATTACAATGAAACACCCTCTATAAATATACTATAAAGATTACAGCAAGATGTGTTTTAATGTTCATATTAATGTAAGTAGATGTAGGCCTAGGAATATGCAACTTCCTGATCAAGTCCCTACGGGAAGAAATTATACACAAAATCGGGATATAATTCTTTTAGGGAATTTTTTTAATTTAAATAAATAAATATTGATTTTGGGGATCTCATCATTGAAGGATTGCAGGTGGAAGAAAGCCAGCGAAAGTGGAGCGGCACCGCCGGACAAAGAAGAGACCTGGAATATCAACAGAATATGGATTTTAAGATGAGAACTATAATAAAGTTGATGAGAAAACAGGAAACTTTGAATACGAAAATAATGAGACTGTTAAGAGAAATGGTTGAATATAATAAGTTTAATCTTGAGTTGCAAGCATTAACCAGTGACTTAGAAATATTGACACTTAAAGCAGCAGCTCTAAAATTATAGAGGTTTCAGATGCATGTTTGATCACACATTTTGTTCCCCAAATGTATAAATGTTGAAGGCTGGTGGTTTAGGTTGCTATATGTTTTGTTTTCTGAGATGATGAAAAGAGAGGGGCTGCATCTTACAATAGAATTGTGAGATGGAATCTCT